ACAGAAGTAGACGTAGTTGATAGGGCTGGCCAATGACACTGCGAGCTGAGAGCATGGGTGATTTATTAGTTGCTATCAGCTAACCAGCTCCTCTGTATTTGATCTGTGTATTTATTCGTCCTCGGTATTATGCAAGCATGTGTTGTTCTATTATGGAAACTGTTTTCTCAACCTCTGCCTTGGTTTTTTACATGAGAATACAATAAAATAACTTGAATTGTGATTACTTTTTTAAATAAATCCTGCAACTGGAATTGAATTTCACACTGCATTTCAACTTTGAAAGGAACATAAATCTGAAACTAATATAAAAAGTGCACAATTTTCCACATTCAGGTTTACGTTTTAGCAACAGAAAAGAATAACTTTTGTTTATCTCTGAAAACAGCTTTCTTCATCTAAACAAATGAGTAGAATTGGTTTGAGAAAAACCTGTTTTGGTTTCTCAGATACACACACGCATTCCAATTTCCTCCGGCACAATGACTTTTATGCAAATGCATCCCACACAATCTCCTGACCTCTTTTACCATCACCCTGGGACAATGACAGTTCCATAATTGCAATGGTACATATCTGGTGTATTTGATTTTAAATTGCAAAGTTGGACTCTGGCCTATTGAAACGAAAATCCTTGTGATTCTTTGTTAATTCCAAACCCATCAGGTTATTATTTCCTACCAGTAAAAACAAAAACCCAGAATAAAAAAAAAAAAAAGAAGAAGAAGAAAAGGAAAGAAAGGAAAAAGGTAGGTGAGGTTAATTATTCCATTTTTATTTCCTTGCCACACACTTTTGCCAGCGTGGCTCCTTGCAGTCTTTTCTGTGACCCTCCCCCACACTTGGATTTTAGTTCTTAACCCGGATCCTTTCATCCGTAACATGGATAATGAGAAAACTCCAAAAATGTTCCTTGGGGGAATGTTACACTGAAAGTTACCTAGGACCCGGCCCCACGTGTGTTTCTCTGCTCACCATGGAGACAAGAGATTCATTGACTGCTCTCAGCCAATTGGAAACCCAAATATGAAAACAGCATTATGGAATTCAGACAGACTATTCTGCTTCACTTCTAGCAGATGCAGGCCGGAAAAAAAGCCAGGACAATTCAGCTTTTGACTTTGAACCAGTAAAGCTGTGAACACCTCACTTACAAATACATATCATATCCTAAGAGCAGTGCCAGTGCAGGTGTGGGGAGTCCGAGGCGGGGC